GCAGGCTATTTTTCTGTACCTCTCTCTCTCTCATCTCCATCTTGGTTCGAAAATATTTTTCTCTTTCCTGTTCTTAGTTTTCCTCCTCCAATCGACCCCTTCCCACCTACTTCCAGCCTTCTCACTTTCCTTTCACACCTTCAATTGCACAGCTACTTTCTTCTGGTCTCATCTTGACTGCCAGTTTATCCTAATACCTAAAGGGGTCGGGGTCAACATTTTAAGGTTGACAGTGACACCACAATCAGAGTGTGACGACCTGTAGTGAAGGGACTGACATTTCTTTTTCTCTTACTTTTTATTTAGACACACATCGAGCAACATTTTTGCAACTTCATAGATGGTCAACAAGGTGCGGTGATAAATTGGCCTGAATGAGACTAAAATTGATCTTTACCTTTTTCTTCTTCTTCTTCTTTTTCTTCAGAAAATATTTTTCTACCGTTTACCTTAGTTCAATCTTTATAGTCTTATGGTCACTTTCATCTCCTCCTACTCTCCTTTTCTTTATATTTAACACTCATTCTTGATGAATTATCGTGACCTGGACCAATATCCCACTGACCAATGTCAAACAGGTCAACTCTCTTTCTATTTTTCTTTCTACACTTTTTCTTCTTCTTCAACCTCTACTTCAACCTTTTCAATTGCATCCCTTAACATATCCAGTGCTTTAGCCACAGTTTTAAAGCTATAAACGACGATTCGTTATTTTTGTGTAAACATGAATAATTCATTAAGAAACTGAGACAATCGATTGGTTAGATCAACTTATAGACTCAAATCCAATCTAAAATAGGCTTTCCGTCGAAACAGTCAACAGTTGAATGCTGCAAATGGTCTAGAAAAGGCCATCTATAGATGGAACACCAAAAGCCAACTTATCGCATCAAAACTCTCATTCCGTCAATGATCCAAAAAGATACTTCTCAATGCCCATTATTAGCTGATTAAATTGAATCATTTGTACATCAGCAGGTGTAGCTTGTTAACCTGATAAAATGAATCTCGATATTCATCTTCGACTATTGACTTAACTTTGTTGAAAATCGCTTCAGAGCTGCATCGAAATCGAAGTAAGAATTTTTGAAAATCGAAAGTAAATACTGTGAGATTATGCCTTTTTAGAGTGAATGAGAACTCAATTTGACCTTTTTGAAAGAAATGTTGAAAAAATTTTACATCATCAATAATTTTTAGGTTAAATTCCAGAATGAAAAGAGATCGATGCTTTACGGTGTCGTGCAACATTGAAAGAGAGTAACTTCGCTTAGGTAAACGTCAAAATCACATTTATTATTATCATTATAATGTAAAATGAAGCCTTTAAAAGGCGATCACAGAAGTTGATAATAATAGATTGAGGGTCCAAAAGAGACAAACAAAAGTTAACAAATGTCTCAATGGACGAAAAGGTCAAAAGCTGTGTGAGTGGCGTGAAAAATTTAGCGATTCAAAGGTGAGATAAAAAGTGGGAGTGTGATTGTTAGAGTAAGTTTCATTGAAGAAAAGGTAAAACAGGCAAAAGGAACGCAAAGGAAAGGGTAAATGATGATGATGATGATGATGACGATGATGAATGAATGAATGAATCACATCATGACAGTCAAAAACACAACAGCGAAAAACAAGAAGAAGAAAAGCCTTTCACTGATTTCACCTTTTATCAACCAAAGGAATGTTCAACTGATCCTTATCATAACGATATTGGTTTTATTAAGATAAGATTGACACAGAAACACAAAAGGTAACAAAAAGAGGGAAAAAAAGTTGAAAACAATAACCACAACAACAAAAGGCAGGTAACACAGGTAAAGACAAAAACAAGGGCCAAACAAGAGACACAAAGGGAAAGCGTAAAGATCTCAATGAGATAACAGATTTGACATTCAACATAATTAAATGAAATTTACTGTTAACTCACTTTCATTGACAAAAACATTACTAGTTTCAACCAATAATTGTTATACTTTTACCTTTTCATTTTTGCTTCTCTCGTCTCGTAAGAGCAGCTTTACTGTCCAATCAGAGGCTCATGGTTATTGAGCCACTTTTAGCTTTTCATCGAACGTTTAACCGATAAAATTTTTAACAATATTAAAGCATTTCTAAAAGCGAATCACTGAATTTCAAAAATCATGAAAAGTTTTCTTCAACCGTTTTATTTTGATTTTCACAATTTTTTCTGCTCTGAGTTGACGGTCGCTCTGTTAACCAATTGGCACTCCGTAATGTCTGTAAGGAAATGAAGAAAAGCAAAATCTGATTTTTTAGGTTCGACCAATGAACCAATATTATGGACCGAAAAAGATTGAGTGGATGGACCTGAAGGGATTGACATTGAACTTTTAATGAAGAGTCGACCTTTTACATTTCAATTTTTTGCAAATTTCAACTTTTCTTTTCAACATTTGTAAAGTTGAACTTTTTCAACCTTTTCTTTGCTCGCTTCAATAATTGCTCATTACATGGGATTTTAGTCTGATGCTTGATTAGGTAAGGGTAAAAGGTCAGTCCAGGGACTTGATTAGTTGTGATTATCTGTAGGCTGTGGTCAGTCATGTTGATACACTTTGATGATCATTGTTGCGTTAAAGAAAATGAAATGCAAAAAAAGTGATGAATCTTGAATATGGTTGATGGTTAAAGGTAATGAATGTAAAGCAAGAAAATGAAGAAAAGTTGATGTTCTTGTGATGAACAGGATTCAATAGTTGATTATATAATAGAACCTGGTTACCTGTCAAATGATAATGTTGCTCATCATCATCATCATCCTAATGATGAAATGAAAAATTCCAT